TTCTAATAGTTTCAGGGTTTCCAGTTTCACATTGAGGTCTTTGATCCATTTGGAGTTGACTTTTGTGCAAGGTAAAAGGTAAGGAGCTAGTTTCATTCTACAGGTGGAGATCCAGTTTTGCCATCACCATTTGTTGAAGATGCTGTCTTTCCTCCATTGTGTGTTCTTGGCACCTCTGTCAAATATCAAGTGGATGAAATTGTGTGTACTCAGGTTTGGATCTTCAATGATGTTCTGTTGATCTATGTGTCTGTTTTTGTGTCATTACCATGCTTTTTCTATGACTATGACTATCTAGTGTACTTGTTGCTACTGAGAAATCAGCTGTCAGGGTATGGGCTATTTGGTGTAAACTGTGTTCATTTTTCCTCTTTGCCTTTATGATCTCTGCTTTAACTTTGGCATTCTGTTTTTATCAAACTTTGCCTTAGATGTTGTTTTCCTTTTATTTTGTCTTGTATGAGATTTTCCAGATATCCTCATGTGAAGACATGGTTCTTTTGTCAGTGCACAGGAATTCTCAGCCATTATCCTTCCAAACATTGCCTCAATCCTATTCCCTCTTCTTTGTCTGAAATTGCAAACTGACACATTACAGGTTTTCATTTAACTATTCCAAGATAGTTTATTTTATTTGCAGCAATTGTGAATGGGATCATTTCTCTGTATTCTTTCTCTAATTGCTTGTTATTGGTGTATAGAAAGGCTACTGGTTTTTGTAGATTGATTTTATAACCTGCCAATATACTGAAAGTGTTGATCAGTTCTAGGAGTTTTCTGGTAGAACTTTTGGGATCTCTTAGGTATAGTAATGTATCATCTGCAAAAAATGATAGTTTGGCCTCTTCTTTTCCAATTAGTACTCCTTTAATTTCTTTCTCCTGTCTTATTGCTCTAGCAAGAGTTTCAAGCACTATGTTGAAAAGGAGTGGGGATGGTGGACATCCTTGTCTTGTTCCTGCTTTTAATGGGAATGCTTCCAATTTTTCTCCATTTAGAGTGACGTTGGCTGTGGGGTTGTTGTATATAGCTTTAATTATGTTGACGTATGTTCCCTCCAGTCCAATTCCCTCTAAGACTTTGAACATAAACGCATGCTGAATTTTGTCAAAAGCCTTTTCTGCATCTATTGAGATGACAATGTGGTTTTTGACTCTGAGTGCATTTATATGATCAATGATGTTTATTGATTTGAGTATATTGAACCATCCCTGCATCTCTGGGATAAAGCCTACTTGATCATGATGAATGATATTTTTGATGTGTGTT